TTCTTCTTCAACATTCCTTTGTTCAAAATGCAACACAAGCTCTGAGAGGTTGTCACAGATTGTGTCTGAGGGGTTTTGGTGGTTGGTTGCTCAAAGGGAAGTTGTTAGAGATGGAGCGCAGTGTGCCTGGGTAGAGCAATAACTGTAGAAAAATGTAAAATTGGCGGGCCGGCTAGTGAGCACATGTCCAACTCGGACGTGTTGCTGAAGTTTATTATTGTGAAATGCGCCTTATGGGAGTTTGTAGCTTTCAGATCTATTCAGTTTAAGAGTATACTATTACATGTAGTGTCTGCTAAAGACGAATATTGGCCTTAACTGTTTTACATAAGAAAATATTTGTTTTCCTGAAAGATTAAGAGGGCTTGTGCAGTTGACGCCATTACAGGAATTTATTCCAAAGCACCAATTTATCGTAAATATAGAGGGAGAAACAGCTGAAGCTCATTCAGATATGATGTTTCACTTTTGAGCCAAGGCTTATGTTATTTACCCATTGTTTATGATTTATAAAGACGAGATCACATGTCCAATGTGCATGTCTTTATTTTGAATGAAACTCCAGGCCCAGTTCTGTTATACCTTTTAATGTCATATCCAAGTGAACCTGCATTGGAAACATTGGAGCCACTTGTCAATCATTTGCTGAGATTTTTGGACCAATCACATCATGATTAATGTCTCACAATTGCATTCAACATTTGCTTTTTTTCGCATGGACCAATCTCTAAGCCATTCCTTACTTAAGGAATACTGATTGTCTTCTGTTATTTGTTTTGTTTTTTTTTATTTATTTTTTGCATAGAAATAAAATTGTTATAATGGCACTTTATTTATAGATACAGTGTGGTGATATGGTCAGTATTTGCTCTGAACAGGTCCATGGTTGAGTTATTAGGAAGAATGTTCCTCTTCTTGCGGTTGGATTTTGGTCAGTAGCGGAAAGAATTAAATACATTTTACTAAGTACTGGTTACCTCAGTGCAGTTTTGAGATACTTTCACTTTTAGTCCTGTCATTTTATGCTTCTTTTTTAGTCGACTGACATTGATTTGACAGCATTCAAAAGAAGATGTACATAAAAAAAGCATGTAAAAAAACAAATCTTATAAGACACAATGCAATTAAACATAACATTTAGATAGTGAGCCTTTGAGGTCCACTACAGTTCTTTGATTGAGTTTTAGGAGGTCATCAATGATACCCTCTAACTTATAAGTATAAGGTAGAATATAAATTTGTGAAGCAGAAATTAATTTTCCCCATTAATCATTTCTCCCAAACTCCTGAATCTCCTCATCTCTCCTTTTGAAGAAGACGAAGACGACGACGACGGAAGACGAAGACGAAGAAGAAGAAGAAGAAGAAGAAGAAGAAGAAGAAGAAGAAGAAGAAGAAGAAGAAGAGCCCTGCATCAGCTGAGCTCCTGTGCTACAGAGGGCTGCTGTGGTGGTGACCCTTTGAACCAGAGTGGAGCCGGAGAGAAAATAAGACAATGAATAAACAATGGAAGTATCGTCCCTTATTCTGTGTGGTGTCATTTTACCACTAAGCAACAATTATTGTGACTCTAATTAAACAAGAGTGCTTGATATGGGCAAATACAAAATATTTCTTTATCGATGAGACGACTGTAACAGTAACTCATTAATTATTTCGATTATTATTAACCATCTAAACGATCACTTGCTCACTTGTCCTGGAGCTTTTGACTTGACTTTTGAATCACACAGCCCTCATCAGCAGATTAAATTTGTCTTAGAACCGTATGGAAAGTAGGAAGTGGAAAGTTCTAGAAAAATGTCGATCACAATTCCTCAGAGCTCAAGTTTCCATGTTTAAATTCGTTGTTTTGTCTGACTCACAGTCCAAAACCCAATATTTGTTGAGAAAATGACACACTCGCACTAGTTAATAAAGTTTTAGCACTACTCAAAAGTTGAACATCACTTAATCTTCTGATGTCTGAGAACTGTGTGATGCAGCTGAAAGCTCCAGAACAAGCAGACCGAGTTGAGATGGGTTTGTTGACTGCTTTTCCAAAGTCAAACATGAACTGTGATGCTCTGACTTTGCAGATGAATGGCCAATTTCTGTAATATTATATTTTGAGTTTGATTTTATAAATAATTCAGACAACAGGTTTCCTTATCATCGTAATTTGATCAATATTATATCATAATTCAGTATAATTCTACTGAAAGATGATAATTGTTACTATTGCAATACTTCCTCGATGACTAGCACTCTATATAAAAAAAAAAACAACTGGATGAATGATGCCATTACTTCTTCCTTGAAAGGAAACTGAGGCAAACATCCGCTAGAGGGAGTGCTTGGCCCGAGTGTTGCATTGCTTTGTTGCATATAAAACTGTTGTGTCAGCACAGCCTCTGTACAGTATAGGCTCAGACTGTGCCAGAAGAGTTTGGGAAGTGGATGAAATACAAAGTTGGCAATGTGATAAATCACCGATTTTGACTCGTGACACGTAGAAGGGACCGAGAGGAGGAGTGAGCGGAGTCACGCTGAGGCAAGGAAGGGCACGCTTTGGTGAAAGTGAAGGACGGTGGATACGGATAGTGAGAGATTCACGACATGACGGGAGGGACAGAAACACAAAGACAGAAGATCAGTGAACATCTTGGTTGAAGCAGGGAGGATCACTCATCACAGGGAGACAGGCAGATAAACACAGCATTTTTCATAAAGCCTGATATCCTATGACTTTGGAAATCTGAACAGTAAAAAGGAAAAAAATAATAATAAACAGATCAAAACTGACATTGAAAAATAGTCAATATATATAAAAACACAAGAATAGCAGAAACAGAATAGTAACTTTTTATAAGTCTTAACTGTGTTGTGAGTAAAGGACTGTGATTCGTTGATTCTCCCTGTAAAGTGTTTGCCTCCCTCATTGCTTTGCCTCTTATCAGAAACGAGTCCAGCAATGGTTGTGTAAACAAAACCCAAAAAGGTGGGAAAAAATACATCTGCAAGTGTGCATCCATGTGATTGGCTGCGCACAACTTCTTCTACTTCCTCTGTCATCGGCCCGTTGGCCCAGGTGGCGCTGTGATCGGCTGGTTAAACCCTTAGCCATCAGACCGCCATGTTTGGTGTGCCTCCACTTCCTCCGAGACGACCAATAGGAGTTCACAGTTCTTCCCTCGCAGCTGCTGGCGGAGAAACTTCCTGTGATGTAGTAAAATGAACAATCACAGTTATGTATATTTGTAAAAAAAAAAACCCTGACAATACACAGTGTCACAATTTGAAATGGTAGGGCTGCTTTAAAGCTGTTAATTCATTTTTTGGCCACTTAGGGGCAGCAAAAACTCAACATTGCCATATTATCACTTATTATTATTACGCCTACAGACACATACACGCCTGATAAATGTGAAACCAATATTAACTCTCCTTTAAAAGGTTTGTATGTACTAATCACTTTAAATTGCCAATATGTGAACAGGTTGAAACGAAACTTAATAAATGAAACCCTCTCCTACTTTTTAGTTGCCTGTGGACTTATGGTGTTCAGTTTTGTTGGCTGGCGTTGTGGGGCGGCCAACGCCAGATAACGCCAGTCAGTGTGGCTGGGTTGCAGCTGGCTGACTAACCTTAGCTTGCTTGCTCGCTAATGTTATCGCTAGCAAAATACTGTCTGAGTAGACAAGTTAGTTGGCTAACGTTAGCTTTACACTTACTTCACACTCCTCACACTCACCCCCACACTCAACTGTGATGTGCAAACATCAGATTTTAGAGAAAGTAAAAGTGTGCATCCTGGTTATAGTTTCCAGCTCTACTTCAGTTACAGTTAGGCTTGTGGTTTGATTCTGTTTGCAAAGTTTGCAACATGTTGTTCCTCTTGTGTCAGCCTGTGTACAATAATGAAGTGATAAAATTTGACTCAAATCATCAACTTTATGTGGGCAGCTCCACCCAAAAGCTTGAGCTTCTCATGTTGAACAAAAACTCTGTAAAGGGATACACCAAGCAGAGGACTGTATTGGGATCCTGTGGTACCCAAGCAAATCTCGCGGGAACAGGCGGTTTTGATTCTGCTGCGGGTGGGAATGCGAAGCCAAAAGATAAACTGCAGCTTCCAGGATTTAGCTAGCGCCAACCAGGAGGATGGAGACAAATAAAATTTGAAATAAGATTTAAGTGGGTTTTTACAAAACAAAAGCAA